TATATACGTACGATGCAGTAGCAGCAGCAGTAGCAGCCTACACAAGGTTTTGTAGTCAGAGGGGATGATTTAGTTGAGCCACGTTAAAACGACGCGTGGTCGTCGTTTTCCTTCGTTTCAAGTTAATGGCGAATTTGCCTCCACGAAATGGCGAGAATTTATTCCAATTTTGCAGATCTTATTTCTGTTTTTTTTTTTTTTCTACGATTTATGCCATTTTTAGAATTTCTCTTTATCTTTTTGTTTGTAGATATTTAATACGTTGATGATTACTGTTTGCCTGTAATTGAGTATACATATTTTATATTATATTATATTATATATAGTAAGAACTAGCGATCTATATATTTTTATTAATCTTGTTTGCATTAATTTTTTAATTTAATTTATTAATAAAAATATTATTAAGATATCTATCTAAAACTATACCTTGTATTAAACAATATTGCACTTAGTTATATTATATTATATTAAATTGTATATAGCAGGCTAGCAACCTATATTTTTAATAGTATTGTTTGTATTAATTTTTTAATTTAATTTATTAATAAAAATATTATTAGCATATCTATTTAAAACTATATCTTGCATTTAAAGGAATTGTGCACTTAGTTATATTTTATTATATTGAATTATATTATATTATATTATGTTATATTATATAGTAAGCTAGTAAACTAAATTTTTAATAATCTTCTTTGTATTAATTTTTTAATTTAATTTATTAATAAAAATATTATTAAGATATCTATCTAAAACTTTACCTTGCATTAAAGTATTGCACTTCATTCGAATACTCTGTAATCTTGTATCATAAAATCATAGTATAAAATAAAATGATTTATAGAGAAAATCAAAGAGAGAAAAAAAAGATAAATTGTGTGTCTTGAAATTTCGTGAAAATTTGGCTTTGTAATAGTTATTACTGAGCAAGTTAGTTCTTTAGTTACTTTAGCAAGTTGTAATACCTTGTTGTCGTGTTGTCGTTGGTTAAAAGTTCAACCAGTAAGAAGTTAGGATATCTACGTGTTTTCTCTCTTTTCCTCGGAGTTATATTCGCCGTTGTTTCAAAGTCAACCTAGGGAAGGAACTTTAAGAGAACTCGCGAAGTATAACTCGTTTCAAGTGCACGTACCGTGTTAAAAAGCAAAACGCATTTGTGATGCAACGCATCACCACACTACCACCATTACCATCGCCACCAACCACGTTTGGTACCTTAAAACGTCACGCTTTTAATTACAACTTTAATCGACTTTTAATAACACGTAATACCAAACTCATATTCTTTAACATGAATTAACGTTCGACTTTAATTATAAACTTATTCCTTGAAATTGTTGAATTTCTTCTTTTTCGTCTCATGTTATTTTTCTTTATTTCTATTCGATTTACTTTTAAGTAATTTTTTATTCCTTTTCTTACCTTCTTATTAACGTTCTTTGTATCTTTTCAGGGTCGACACACCAAAACGGGTCAGCTGGCGGCCATCAAGGTCATGGACGTCACAGAGGTAATTTTACTCGTTTGAAAACCGATCGGAAATACTTACTTACTTACTTACTTACTTATTTACTTACTCGTTTAATTCCCTTTGTCAAATTTAATCTATAAATATACTACCACTATCTAATATTTAATTAAAATCATTCATAACATGTGAGATGAAAATAAAATCATAAATTATCTTACAATAACGAAAGAAGATTTTTTCATGGATATAATTTCAATAAATTAATCAAATTAAATTATATTTCAAATGTTATTTTTAATTTGAAAATATTTCAATGATAGGAGAATTGAATGAACGCACAAACACACATACAAGAATCCTACGATTATTTATATCTGTAAATGAATTTCAATAATTTCTATATCATACAAATTGATAAATAAATTTTTAAATAATAATAATAATAATAATAATAATAATAATAATAATAATAATAATTAAACATACCGTTAATAATATTAATCAATGTTCATAATATCTGTAAAACTCTTCATTGATTCTTTTTGTCTAAGATTTGAGTTGAGTTGGATCTTCTAACGTTAGCTTTTTCCCTATCTCTTTCTATTTTACATAGAAAGATTGTGTGCGTGTTCATCATCATCATCATCATCATCATCATCTTCTCTATTTTCATCTCCTTTTCTCTGTTAGAAGAGTCAATCTTGTAACACACGAGTAAATCTCGACTCTACTTACCTACTTAACGGCTACGAAACGGCATGCGGTTTTCTTACGGCCATCTACGCGTACTGGAATTCTCACATTCTCTACACGCCACTAATGGTAATGCTTTTTGTTCTTAGGATGAAGAGGAAGAAATCAAGCTGGAAATAAACGTATTGAAGAGGGTAAGCTTATTATATAAAACAACGATTATTATTATTATTATTATTATTATTCTTATTATTATTATCATCATTCGTATATATGGCGTTATGTTAATTGGAATAAAAAAAGAAAAATCTTTGTTGAACATTGAACACATGAAATGAACTTTTTTTTTTTTTAAATATATTTTCTATTCTATTTTTAATTGTTATTATTGTTTTATTATTTTAATAATTATTAGTATTATTAAAATTTAAAATACAAAATTAAATTTAAAATGTAAAATAAATACAAAATTAAATTTAAAATGTAAAATAAATACAAAATTAAATTTAAAATATAAAATAAATATAGAATTAAATATCAAATATAAAATAAATATAAAATTAATTTTAAAATATAAAATAAATACAGAATTAAATATTATATATAAAATAAATACAAAGTTAAATTTAAAATATAAAATAAATACAAAATTAAATTCAAAATATAAAATAAATACAAAATTAAATTTAAAATATAAAATAAATATATAAAATTAAATTTAAAATATAAAATAAATCTTATAAAATGAAATTTAAAATATTATAACAATTTAAATAATAATAATTATTATTTTTAAGTATTATTATTATTATTATTATTATGAATAATATTATTAAATTGTTTTGTTATATATTCGTACTTTTTTTCTTTTTTTCTTGTTTTTACATATTTTTGTTTACAGTATTCAAATCATAGAAACATAGCAACATACTACGGTGCCTTCGTGAAGAAGTCATCACCGGGAAAGGATGATCAGTTATGGTTGGTTATGGAATACTGCGGAGCTGGCTCCGTCACAGATCTCGTTAAATCGACGAAGGGTCAGAGCCTTAAGGAGGAATGGATTGCATATATTTCCAGAGAAATATTACGGGGTTTAAGTTATCTACACAGTAATAAAGTTATTCACAGGGATATCAAAGGACAGAACGTACTTCTAACTGACAATGCTGAAGTCAAACTTGGTATGCATTATTTCATTCCTTGTTTTTTTTTTTAAGCTTACTTCTTATTTTTTATGATTTCTTCTTGACTTTTTTTTTTATAAGAACAACAAGTAGAATTGTTTTATTTAATTTATTTAACCCCTTAAGAGAAAGGAGAGAGAGAGAGAGAGAGAGAGAGAGAGCGAGTTGCACGCTCGAGGTTAACTCGCGCGACGTTGTATTCTATGCTACCATAAAAATGTGGATTAATTTTGTATTTTTTGTTAATTTTTTTTTTTTTTTGCAAGGACAATGTTCTAAATTGTGTTTTCTTACATTCAAAAAAAAAAAAAATTCATTTCAAAATAACTGTGCGTTAAGGAGTTAACCCCGTTAAGTTGCACGCTCGAGTTAACTCGAGCTACGTTGTATTACGTTGAGCCAAAATTGTTCCTTAAGGGTTTAAGATAATAATTTTGAAGATACGTGTTAAATAATAATAATAATAGGTATGTAATTTTTCGTTGCAGTTGATTTTGGTGTTAGCGCCCAATTGGATAGAACGATAGGCAGAAGGAATACGTTTATTGGTACACCTTATTGGATGGCACCAGAAGTAATAGCTTGCGATGAGAATCCCGACGCTACTTACGACAATAGAAGTGATCTTTGGTCTCTCGGAATTACCGCTTTAGAAATGGCTGAATCACAACCTCCACTTTGTGACCTCCACCCGATGAGAGTTAGTATTCTTTATTCTTTTTTTTTTCAAGTGATATTCCTTTAACGAGAAACGATTGAAATTGTAGTTAAATTATAAGAGACTAAACCTGTATTTTTGTATTATTACAAATAAAACACTGAATCATGTATTTTTAAATATACATATACTCTTTCTTACAAACAAACAAATTTYCAGGCATTGTTTTTGATTCCGCGTAATCCACCGCCTAGACTGAAATCCAAAAAATGGGCAAAGAAGTTTCATGGTTTTATCGAGACTGTATTGGTGAAGGATTACCATCAGAGGCCTTACACCGAACAATTACTTAAGCATCCATTTATAAGGGACCAACCAACGGAAAGACAAGTCAGAATACAATTGAAAGATCATATCGATCGTTGTAAGAAACGCAAACAGGAGAAAGGTATGTTTATATATATAATACAATAAAAAAGTCTTATGATTCAATCATATATCCTACATCAGTGGTTCCCAAACTTTGTTATCCTACTGCCCCCTTTCCAGAAGAAATAGTACTTAGGGCACCCTAGAAATTCATTTTACAAAAATTTGAATAGAAATTTTTTAATAGAAAATAGTATTAACACTTTACCGACCGCTAGGGTTCCAACAGCATATGCACGTCTGACCGACAGTTCAGCCGTAGATTCTACTAACAAACTTTTTATTGGATGCTAAATAAGATTCTAATAACAAATTACTGTTCATGTAATGATAGTGACTCTTTATCGCAATGTCAACCGATAACTAAAAGTTGATTAATAAATTTTTGTTCGATAAGCGTCGGTGACAAAAAAAAAGCCTATTAATAGGCTAGCGGTCGTTAAAGTGTTAATGTTAATATTAATGTTTCTACCACCTCCCTGAATCGCTGTTGCACCCACTTTGGGAATCACTGTCCTACATCATTTTTAATCAAGCGTTATTGTTGTTGTTGTTTGAATTTAAATGAATTTTATTTGATATTATAGAAAGAGACGATTATCGATACAGCGGTAGTGAGAACGAGGAAGATGAGCCAGCATTGGCCGGTGAACCATCGTCCATAGTTCAAGCACCTGGCGGTGATACATTGAGACGTAATTTCCAACAAATTCAAGAAGGTCGAACGTTAACGCAAGACGTATCACCTCAAGCACCAGCCGGTGGTAAGGATAAACCAAATCAAAGTAGATCTCAACGGGAAGTACCAGAACCAGGTCCACCTGCGAGACCAGCCATTCCACACAGATTAATCGGTAAGGTGTTTTAATACTTTGTTCAATTATAATATCTATTTTTATTCTTATATATATTGATCATTGTAGTCGTGCCAGATCCACAGCCACCATCTCGACCATTACCACCAACACCTAGGGATGACCCACGACAATCTCACAAGGTCTCAACACCGCCCTCCAATCATCAGGCACCTTCTGCCGGCGGTGGGGGTAGCGGAGGTTCTGCTGGACAAGCCGCACCTCAAAGAAACAGTCACGTGTTTAAACCTATGGTAGGGATTTTTGTTCTAATTATGGATCAATATCGTTCCATTCCCTTTTCTACCTATCCCCTCCTTTCATCCCTTCCTAACTATTCCTATTATAGTTTCCTTTTTTCTCAATAACTTCCCGTCATAACTGTAAACCATGGTGAAGTAATTAAATATAGTATATATATATATATATACATATTTAAAAAAAAGATATATATATATATATATATATATATATA